TATATATATAATATATATATAATATATTATATTATATTAGTAGGTACTGGCCCCTTGTCAGATATATAGTTGAAAGTATTTTCTTCCAGGTTGCAGCTTGTATTTTTATCCTCTTAATAGGGTCTTTTTCAGAGTAATAGTTTTTACTTTTAATTATATCTAATTGATTAGTTTTTCCTTTTATGGATTGTGCTTTAGTGTCAAATCTAACATTTATTCTTTGGCCAGCCCTAGATCTGAAAATTTTGTTTTTCTTTTCTTCCTAAAAGTTTTATACTTTTAGACCTAAATGATTCATTTTAAGTTAAATTTTGTGTGAGCTATGAGACTTGGAAGTTTTTTTTTTCTGTGAATATTTACTTACTCTAGCACCATTTGCTGAAAATGTGATTTCTCCTTCATGGAACTGCTTTTGCATTTTTGTGAAAACTCAGACATAAATATATGGATCTGTTTCTGTCTTCTTTGTTCTGTTCTATTGATCTATGTGTTTATTTTTCCACCAATACCACTTGATTATTGTAACTGTATAAGTCTTGAGATTGGGTAGATTGATTCTTCCCAGTTTATTCTTCTTTTAAAAAATGTTTTAGCTATTCTAGTTCCTTTCCTTTCCATAAAAAAACTTCAGAATAATCTTGTCTATACCTGTGAAAAAAAGCTTTATGAGATTTTGAAAGGAATTACTTTAAATTAAAAAAGGATTACTTTAGATCAGTTTGGAGAGAATTGACATCTCTACTATGATGAGTCTTCTAACCCAAGAATACAATATGTCTCTCCATTTATTTAGATTATCTTTGATTTCTTTCATCAACATTTTATAGTTTTTAGCATATAAGTCCTACACAGGTACTTTAGATTTATACCTAAGAATTTCATTTTTTTTAGTAATTATACCTGGTGCTGTGTTTTTTAATTTTGGTATCCATGTGTTCATTGGTAATAAAAATACTTTTTCTGTATCACTTGATATGACTATGTAATATTTCTACTTTAGCCTGTTAGTATGTGGATTACACTGATTTTTATTTGAATATTGACCCACCTTTATATCCATGGAATTAAAGCCCACTTGACTGTGGTGTATAATTCTTTTTATATATTGTTGAATTTTATCTGCTAATATTTTAAGGATTTTTGCATCTATACTTACAATATATGTTGGTCTACAGTTTTCTTTTGTGTACTGTCTTTAATTTTGGCATCAGGGTAATAATATAAATATACTATAAATATATATAAATATACTTTATATCTCAAAAAAATTAGGAAGTGATCCCTCTTTTATTTTCTGGAAGAGGTTTTATATAATTGGTGTTAATTTTGTTTTTAAAGGTTTGGTGGAATTATATGGTAAAACCATCTGGCCCTGGAGTTTTCTTCTTTGGGAGTGTTAAGATTATGAATTAATTTTTTTCTATTGGGGTACATATAATAAAATGTACAAATCTTAGTGTATAACTCAATGAGTTTTGACATGTGTATACACTCATGTCACCATCTCCAAATTAAGATATTAAACATTCTCACTAATTTTCCACCCCTTCGCCTCAGCACACCCCCACCCCATCCCCTATGGCCACCACCAGTCTGTTCTCTGTGTCCATTTGTTTGTTTCCATTTTGTTTGTTTAGTTTTTTATAGATTTCACATGTAAGTGAAATCATATGGTATTTGTCTGTCTCTTATTTCATTTATAATATTCTATAGGCCCATTCACATTGTTGCCAATAGCAAGATTTCATGAATTCAATTTCTATAATAGTCTAATTAAATTATTTCTAAATTAAATAGTTACAGGGCTATTCAAAAGATCCATTTTATATTGTGTGAGTTGTGGTAATTTGTGTTTTTTGAGGAATTGGTCTATTTTACCTGTCAAATTTATGTGTATAGCGTTCTTCACAATCTTCGTTATTATCCTTTTGATGTCTGCAGGGTTTATAGTGATATGCCTGTACATTTGTTCCCGATATTGGTAATTTGTGTCTTCTCTCTCTTTTTTATTGTTAGTCTTGCTAGAGGTTTGTCAATTTTATTTACCTTCCCCAAAAAACAGCTCTTTGTTTTATTGACTCTTTTTTCCCTATTGCTTTTCTCTTTTCAATTTCACTGATTCGACTATTATTTCCTTCCTTCTGCTTCCTTTGGGTTTATTTTGCTCTTCTTTTTCTAAGTTCTTGAGGTGAGACTGAGATTATTTATATGACACTTTTCCTTTTTTCTAGTTTATCTACTTAGTGCCATACATTTCCCTCACAGCAGAATAGAAACCTGAATTCCCTTTATGTCTCGTTATCTTCCTCCATTTATAATATAATTGTATTAAATACTTCCTCTACATATTTAGAGGCACATCAGACAGTGTTATAATTTTTACTTCAACTGCCAAACATAATTTAGAAAAGTCAAGAGGAGAAGGAAAGTCTGTTGTATTTATTCACATTTTGCTTACTATATCTTTCCTTCCTGGTGTTCCAAGACTTTTTCTTTGGTTTCTTTTCTTTTTAGAGAATTTCCTTTAGCGTTTCTTTTAAGGGAGGTTGGCTTGTGACATATTCTTCATTTTCTTCATCTGTGAATGCATTGTTTTTTCTTTTCATTCCTGAAGAATATTTCACTGGATACAGAATTCTGGATTATAGCTCTTTTCTTTCAGCAATAGAAAAATGTTGTGCCACTTATTCCTGGCTTCTGTGGTTTCTAATGAGAAATCTACTGTCATTCAATTTTTTTCCTTGATAGGTAAGGTGTCATTTTTCTCTGGCTGCTTTAAAAAATTTTTTCTTTCTGATTTTACTTTGTAGGAGTTTAATATTGATGTGTCTTTGTGTGGATTTATTTGGGTTTATCCTGTTTGGAATTCACTCAGCAACTTGAACCCATAGTTTTATTCTCTTTCCAAATTTGAGGAGTTTTCAGAGTACTTTTACAACCTGCTTTTTTGAGATTTGGCTGACTTGTATGCTAATGTATGCTGTACTTGATTGTATAGACTTGAGGCTCTACACATTCATCTGTTTACTCTTCTTCCTCTCTATTGTTCAGAGTGAGTAATTTCTTTTCTTCTGTCTAAAAATCCGCAGACTTCCTCCCCCTGTCCCCATCCCCACCATCCCTTTTTTACTGTTGAGCCCATCCAGTGAGCTTTTTATTTTGTTTTTTATATTTTTTCAGTTCTAAAATTTCCATTTGATTCTTCCTTGTCTTCTATCTCTTTGCTGTGACTTTATAATTTCTTGCTGAGACTTTCCATTTATTCATTCATTTCAAGCATGTTTATAATTGCTTGTTCAAACTTTTTATAATGGCTCCTTTAAATCCTGTCATATAATTCTAATATCTTTGTCATCTTGGTATTGGCACCTATTTATTGTCTTTTTTCACTTGGTTTTGTATATCTTCCTGGTTCTTAGTGTGATAAGTGATATATTGATAGAAACCTGTACATTCTTTGTCTTAGCTATTTCCTTTGACACTATTCTAGTGGTGGGGAGCACTGTGTATTGTGTTATTATTCCCTGATGGGAGAGAAAAGTTCAGGTTCCCTATTTGGCCTCCATGATACCTAAGAAAGGGGTTTCTCACACCTGCTGGATAGGTATGGGAATTCCAGCTCCCTACATGGCTTCCAAAAACACTATGTCAAGGGTGGTCTCATTACTGATGGACAGTGGTGAGAATGCTGATTCCCCATGTGGCCGCGGCTGGTGCCATTGCTGTAGGAAGGTGGTGGCGAGGGGACCCATTACTGCTGTATGTCAGTCCAGATAGCTCATGAGGTCTCCACTGACACCATGGGATACAGGGGTGTTCTTACTGCCCTATGGAGGTAGAAAGAAGAAAATTCCCAGCTTTCTGCTCAGTCTTCAGTAACATCAACCAGGAGGAGGTTGGGGGGTGCCTTGCATAGCCAGGCAAAGGTAGAAGTTTAGACTCCCCACTCAAATTTTGCTGGTTTGGGTAGAGCCAGTTTTTTCTGTGTTTGGCTGGAATAAAGCAGTTATTGTTTAAAAGTTTTCTATATTGCTAGGCTGTCCCTTTCTTACTTTTTTGACTGGAGAAAGCAGACTTTGGGGGGCCTTTTACGGTCTGTGCCTATTGGTGTTTATGTGTTGCTGTTTTCTTTATTTCCAAGTCTGGAATAAATGAGGGAAAAAGAGAATCTGTGGAGTGTACTGCCATACCCTGCCTTGAGTTTTTAAATCTCTGGCTGGTCTATTTTCTTCTCTACACTTTTCAGAATCTTATTTGTTTTTGTATATAATGCCCAGGAATTTAAGTTGTACTTAATAGGAGGAGTAGGGAAAAGTATGCCTACTCCATTTTCCTGGAAGCAGAAGTCTATGTATCACTTTTGCAACAAAAAAATATTCTTAAAGCAATTAAGTATTATATTTCTGGGAAAGTTTTTTTCTTAATAGTTGGTATAATATGGCTTCTATGTCTATTGAAGTTTTTTTATTTTTCTGGTCAGTGGGGTGTGCATGTGTGTGTATGTGTATATACACAAGTTAATTCCTTAAAGATAATTAGAATCTCAAAACTTAAAAAGAAACTTGCGGCTGATTCAAATCAGCCATAAATACACATAATGCAATAAAGGGAACATGATTCCTGCCTTGTAATCTGTGTAAACATGTGATCACTAAAAGCCTGAAGCTGTTAGTGTATTAATGAAATCCAATGGAAGGCCCAAAAAGTCCATCCAGAAGTTCACAAGGGTCATGTTTCAGTGGGTGCCCCGCTCAGCCAAGAATGAGGAATAAAGAAGAAAGATCTTTCACTTCTGCTGGACATTTTCTTTGCCACCTTTCTCAGAGGTCCTGGAGTCATGACCTAACTATCCTAAATAGTCTTGTCTGTTTGGTTTAATTAATCTTCACTCTGCTTTCTGGGAAATACATTTCATAATTTATGTGAGTAGCTAAATAAAGTTCTCAAGGGGAACACTCTCTATATTTATCTGATATATTAAACTAAAATTTACCATCTTCTTGAAATACTGGAGAAGACTTTAATCTTATGAATTTGTTATGCATTGATTTGGGTGGGGAGGTGCTTTATTTAAGAATTCCCAGTTCATGAAACAATAGTTGCCTCATAGTCCATTCTTATGGCAACTACCATTTGATGGGTGTCTGTGTTATGAAGGCAGCAGATGATTTTAATTGAGATAGTAACTAATGAAACAGTTTTAAGGCTGACAAATTTGGTGCTTATTCTGCCTGATGGCTAATCTAATGTTTTAAGATGATTAGGTGATCAGGCCCTAACAGCAAAGAAATGATAACTCAAGTGTCAGTGTAAGATGGGAGAAATGGAAGAGTTAGATGTAGTGAGTTGATTCTGAGCAGATCTTCCCTATGGCCTGATCTCAAACTCCTTCTTAAACCTTAATTGTAAATCTTCTTATCTCACAGTCTCATGGTGTTTTTATTTTATTATCCCTAAAGTAATTTGCCATTAGTACTTTGGCAGGATTTAGAGCTAAATCCTCAGCTGTGTAATACATATCTTAATTATGGCAAAAGACCTACAGTGCTAAAAATGTTCCCTCTGAGATGGACACTGAATCCACCCAGGAGCCGAGGAGTTATCATTCATGATCTATCCACATGGCATTTGTTTAAATAGAAGTTTTCTTTACCAGCGTGCCTTCCTTGCATTGTTTAAGACACTCAGTAAAATTGTTTTATTGACAAAAAATCCCTTTTGCTACTCACTTGGAGCACAATAAACAGAATTATCCATGTAAAAAGCAGCTTGAATTGCTGGCATTGGATTCATAATAGGAGGTGGCTTTAGATTTGGAGTTTGTATTTTAAAAAAACTTGTTTGCTCACATTGAATGCATGCAGTAGCTGTATCTCTCCTGAGCAGCTTTCAGATCCACACTGAAATTTCAGCTTCAGATGATTGCTTACCTTTTGAGGTGTTCTAACTGGGGCCTTCAAAGTGAATTTTGCATGTGGCCCATATTTTATGTACTCTCATTTCAGTTCACCCATATTGTGAATATATATCTGACTACTTGGTGTGACTTGGTAACTGATGATTTTAGATAAATCAGCCAGCCTGATGAGTCATAATATATACAAAATTTTTGTTTCTAGAAAGAGATTCAATCAGTATCTTTAAATAGTGAATAATTTAATAAGATATGTTGTCTAATGATCTTTTAGCCACAGTGAAAACATCAGCAAGTTCCTTATCTTCTGTGCCAAATATTAGCCATTGTTATGGTACATATCCAGCTAAGATTCTACATTTATGTGATTTATACATGAATATTCTAGTTATTCCAAAAAATTCTCTTATCAGCATTATGGGATATTGTATTGATGTATTTAATACCTTTTAATCATGCAGACTGAAATGAAATCACCATTTTCTTTCTAGATCTGAAATTGAAACAAGAAGAAACATGTAATTTTATAAAAAGGCATTCTATAGAATGAGGAAAAATCACTGCAGAATAAAGAATTGTACAAATGAATTAAATAGTCAAGCCAATGGAAAATGGGCAAAATACTTGAAAGGGCACTTCACAAGATAGGGTGTTCAAATGGTGTGTCAATACATACACTGTCACAGCAGTCATCAGGGAAGTGTGATTAGAGTCACACAGCCAGAAGAACAGATAAAATGAAGAAGCAAAATACTAAGTACTAATAGAGATGGAGAGTGACCAGAACTCTTATCCACTGCCAGTGGCATTACATATTTATCAGTCACTTTAGAATTTGATTGGTAGTGTTTATTAAAGTTGAACATATCTATACCCTAAGGTCCAGAATTCTAGTTCTAAGTAATACCTGACTAGGTATAGTCACATATAGTCAACAAAAGGTACACAAGACTATTTGTAATAACCACAACAGGGAAAATAGCAAATGTGCCTTAGTACTAGACAGAATAAATTTTGACATATCCACATAATGGAATGTTTTACAGCAAAGAGAATCAACAAACCATAACTACATGCAACAATGTGGATAAACCTCACAAACATGAAGCTGAGCAAAATAAGTGATAAAGTAATTCATATTTTATGATTCTATTTATATAAAACTTATGAATAAACAAAAACTGATGTTTGAAGTCAGATTAGAGGTTACTCTTGGGGGCTAGGTTACTGGAGGGAGGAGACGTGGGTGCTTCTGTGCAGCTAGTAATGTGTTTATTGATCTAGTTGCTTATATGGGAATGTTCACTTGGATAATTCATGAGGTGTACATTTATGACATGTGCACTTTTAAAAGCTCTCTTCCATTTTAATAAAGTTTTAAGAATAAACTTAGACATTGGTGATGACTTTAAATAAAATGGACCGGAGTCAGTGCCCACTTATTTCTCTAGGTTGATAGTTTCTGATCTTGATATCAACATGTTAGGGCACCATTCTACATGAGAAAAATGATATTTGGGGGGTTTCTCTTTGTTATTTATGCACATCCCTTATAAAATATTAGTTTTGGTGATTTGGAACAAAAATAGTTGTGAGTTTTTAAAGATATAACATTTTAAATTCTTGTAATTAAAAAAAAACTTTTATAAAATGTGATAGGTATCATTATAGTGTAGTGGAAGAAACCCTGAACGTGAAGGCAGTGGACCTCAGTTCGAGTATTTTTTGTCCTCTTCCAGCTGGGTGAACTAGAGCAAGTCTGAGTCTCAGTTCCTGCTCTCTAGGATTAATAATTCACCTGCCTGAAGGTAGAGGATTAAACTCTGTGATCTTTTGAGTCCTTTTTAGCTCTGAAGTCTAAGACCTGCCATCTGTTAGTACTGGGAAAGCTCTTAAAGTAATGATGTAACTTATTTATACCACCATTAATTTCCAATCATTTACTCTGTTGACATGTTCAATTATAATATAGCCCCAGACACAATAAAAAGTTTCAAGGTGTATAGCAAAGTTCAATATCAGTGCTATAGATTATAAAGACATCTTACCTTATCTTCACCCCCAAGCTGATCTCTTGGTTTTCCTGGGATTTATTGCTCTGTGGTGAGGATGCTTTTCAGGAAACGTTCCATATTAGTGAAGAGGAGATCTTTGCTTTCCTTAATATACTGTAAAAAGTGTGGAAGACACACTTAATACCTTTGCTTTCATTTCTTTTAAGTACTCTTGGAACTTCTTAGGCATAATATAGACCTGAGAGTATTATGTAAAATTCTGCTTTTAAAATAAAATGAGGCCTCTTCATAGATGGTGGTTGGCAGAGAACTAACAACTGTCTAGCTCCACAACTGTCTCTGTTTTGGGAAAGTTGTTTTTAACAGTACCAAGCCTCAGTTTTCTCATCTGTAAGTTAAGAATAGATGTAGCATCTTCCTTATAAGGGCATGGAAAATATTAAATGAGATAATGCATATAATACTCAGCAGAACATCTGGCACATGGCAAATATATAATCAATGTTTGCTATTATCTGCCTTATTGTTAGCTCTGGTTAGACGGGAATATTTCAGTATATAGTATCAGGGTTCATATAAGCCGGTTCATTAAGTTAGCATAGTGAGAGCCTACTTATGAGCCTGGCACATGGGCTACACCAGGAAACAAACACCTCTGCCCTCATGGAGCTTGCATTTTAATGGGAATAAAAACAATAAACAATCATTATAAGTACATTATGTAATACACTAGAAAGTGATATAGGAGAAAAACAAGTAGAGCAGAGTAAGGAGGAGCTGATGAAAGAGGGCTGCAAATTAAGATGGGCTAGTCAGGGTTGCGTCTTTGAGAAGGTCGAACAAAGACATGAAGGAGGCAAAGGAGGAAGGCATTCTCCTACTCCTTAGACCAGGGTTTTTCAACTTCAGTGCTACTGACATTTTGGGATGGATAAGTTTTTGTTGTGGAGGTTTTCCTAGGTGTTGTAGTTAGTAGAAGCATCCCATCCTCTGAGCAGAATGATAAAAAATGTCTCCAGACATTGCCATATGTCCTATAGAGGAAGAAATTGATCCTGGTTGACAATTGCTGCCTTAGAGGAAGGAGTGTTGTAGGCAGATGGAACCCTTCAGAGGGGGTGTACCTGGTGTGTTTGAAGAACAGCAAGGAGGAAAGTGTGTTTGGGTGAATGAGAAGAGGAGTAGAGTAGTAGGTGAGGGGGCCAGGAGACAAGGGGACTTGGCTTCTTTGACTTTCACTCTAAATGAATTTGGGGGCCACAGCAGGATTTTTACCAGATCCAATTTTCATTTTAAAAGGCTCATTCTGACTACTGTCATGAGAAGAGACTTCAGAAAGGCACAGCTGGACTCTGGGGGTCCAGGGAGTATTATTGTAATCCAGGCAAGAGATGTTGGTGGCTTGCACAAGCCTGGTAGCAGTGTAGATGATAAGAATAGTCAGATTATGGATATTCTGTGCAGGCAGAGCAACAGGATTTCTGGATGGACTAGTTAGAGGTGTAACAGAGAGAGAGAGAGAGGCTTCAGTGAAGACTTCGGCATGAAAAACTATCCGTTGAGATGAGGAAGGTTTGTAGTGGAGCAGGTTTGAAAAGAAGATTGGTTTGGGGTATGCTGAGTTTGAGATACTTACTAGACATCCAAGTAGAGATGGCTAGTAAGCAGTTAGATCTATGAATTGAGTTAGAGATTGGTTTGGGGATGAGAAAAAAATTGAGAATACTTGACCATCTTTAAAGCTAGAAGACTGGATGAGATTCCCAAGGACAGTGAGTGTAGACAGAGAAGAGATGAGGACAGGACTGAATCCTGGCCCTCCAACATTAAGAGGCCAGGGAGAAGAGGAGAGACAGCAAAGGGTACAGAACAGCCAGAGAGGTAGGAGGAAAACCAGCAGAAGCTGGTGGGGAGCCAAGTGAGGCAGACATATTGAGGAAGAAGTGATCAGGTGTGTCAAATGCTTCCATTACATGAGGAGAGAGAACTGGCCATTCTCTGCTTTGTGGGAGCCGGCGTGACAGAATCCTGTGACCCAGATGGGTGCTGTTGCCGTCACCATCCCAGACCACAGTATGAATCTGTGACTCAGTGACTAATGGAAACTGATTACAGAGCAAAGTATATGAAATGTTTACTTAGGAATCAGGAGATCTAGAAGTCATTTTCAACTTTACCAGTACAAACAACTTCATGATTTGGGGCAAACTGTTTAATCTCTCCTTAAATATGAAATGTGATTAAAAATGTGTACATTACCTGTTTTGTAGGACTGCTGGGTGGATCAAATGAAACTATATATAAACAAGTGCCTTGAAATTGATGAAGTTTTATATAAATATGATAGAGACATGTTTTTGTTTATAACTCAAGAATGAATTGACCATTAATGGACGATGAGCTTTTCAAGACCACAGATTTAAATTTTATGATATTTTAATACTTAAAAAGATGGATGATAACATTCTTATAAAGGTGCTTTAAATAACACAGTATTAAGAATATCATTGTCAAGTTTGCACAGAAAATAGCACAGTGTAAGTTTGGGTTAATAGGCTACAATTTAGACATCTAAATTTAGTCTGAGTCACAGTGAGTTTTATGGATGGAATTCTGCTTACTTACTGATAATATGTTAGTGGGACATGAGTTAAGTAACTGAGGAGCCATATTTGCAGTTCCCATGACTGAAAGAGCTGGGTACCCATTGTCTGCCCTGTAGAATACAAGATTTAAAAAAATATTGTCATATGTGGTTTGAAAACCAGGCCGATTGTCAAACAAACAGTGATTGGAAGATATCTCAGGATGCCAGAAATGCCTGAAAAGGTCAGATATTGAGGCATTCATTCTGTGAAGTCAGTGTTCATCAATATTAAATGCTGCCAAAGTTCAAGTTCTTTACCTCTTCTGGTGATTCTGGCTTCAAGTGAGACTCACACTCCCTTTCAAGGAGCCACAAAGGCCTTGTTCTCTTGCAGAGATGCACTGCTCTCCCAGCAGTGTGGTGCTCACGCTTTGGTCAGGCCTCCTGTCCTGGGCAGCTGCTGACATTTGCAGTGTGATAGAAAATGCTTCCCTGAAATAGGCCTTCAACCCCGGGTGAAGAGAAAATGAGGGGGGCAGATCAGTTCAATTTTAGGTAATTACTGTTAAAGCTTTAAATAATAGTTGAAAGAAAAATGGGGATTGGTATTTTCATCTTTACTTATTCTCACCATAGGTTATTATTGTCATTAGCAATTCTGGTGAGGTTTTTGTTTGGACAAGGAAATATGCACAGAAAGATGTGATGTCTTTCTCACAGGAAGACCACTTCTTTCTGAATTTTACAGAGTGGTGAGTGCATTTTGTTACATGCTGCCACAGGAAATTTGATGAGGAAAGTCTCCTCCCTGGCCAGGCAGTAGGTACCAGAGGCAATAATGGGACTTAAGTAGATTTGAAATGTTACAAAGCTTAAAGCATTTATTATCCTGGGGAATGGCATCTGAGTCACAGAGAAGTAGAAGCAAAAAGCTCTGTGCATGTTACACATACCTTGTAAAATGACCTCAGAAAGGCAGCATTGGAGTCTTGGTAGAGGCCCTCGGCAGCAGTGGTGGGCCAGGCAGCAGGTCAGCAGCAGAAGAGAGCTCCCCACACATGCCAAAGACTCTACCGGTGAACAGTGTGTTCTCAGCACTCTGAGTGAAAAAATAGTGCCTCTTTCTTTTTCTAGTTTCATATGCTCTGAAATAACTTCTGGAATCATGAAGTCAGAGACTCCTTGAGCTTAATGGAAATTTACTGAAGGGATGATTCAGATGACAAGGGAAAAGCTGTTTTAGTTCAACTTTCTGAATAAATCATTTTCTCCACTGTCTCCCAATTTGTCTGCTACCCTCATCTTTCAGAAAATAAACTATTGGAAATTCAGAGCAAGTTTACTCATGTGTCTCTGGTTTTTATCAGTATCTTCCAATCACTGTTTCTTTTTAAGTAGTATTTCTCAAACTTCAGTGTGAATGAAAATCACAAGGGAGTGAATCTATTTTGGGGGACCATCCCAGAATTTCTGGTTCTGTGCATTTTAGCTGGGGTCACAGCATCTCCATTTTTACTGAGCTCCCCAGATGGTTGATACATGAGGTCCAAGGGCTGCAGTTTGAGAATCATTGCCAAAGAGAGCTCTCAGGCTTTCTTTGTCTGGTATGCCTTTATTATAATCAAGTTCTCAAATCTCCCGTCTTGCCTAATTGATTTGAAATAACTCCCTTGTTCACTTTCTTTAGAGGAAATACATTGACATGGAAAACCCTTAGGTGATTTAGAATCAGTGAGATTTGTCCCTGGAACTGGTTATGGTTGGCAACGCAGAATAGTGGTTAAAAAATTAGGCTGGTGGTCAAATACACCTGGATTTGAGTTTCGGCCTTTGCTAGCACTATGTTCTTGGGCAAATTATGTGGCTTCTGTGGGCCTCAATTTCCTAATTCATAAAATATAGATAACAAGAGTACCCACCACATAGGGCTGGGTTGCTGTAAGCTGTAAGTGAGATAATGCAGGTAAGGAACATGGCCAATACTGGACACACAGTTCTCAATGAATCCTGAGTTTGTTTCCCCATCAGTAAAATGGGATTAAATTCTTGCCTGTTTCATAGATTGCTTTGAGGATCAAGTGAAATAATGCTTGGATGGTACTATAGGTGAGTAATTTTTGGTCTTATTATTTAAATCCCCTAACAAATCACAGTCAAATAGAAACCATTTCCTAGTCCTCACACAGTGATTAGCAGTTCTTCCAATGTACTGGCATCAGTGTTTAAGGTCTTTGTATACTGGCTTAGAATTACCACCAAGACACTGCCTACCTACATATTTGAGGAAATTCCAGGACAGGAATATGTTAGATCCCTTTCAGTAGAAAGATGCTGATTGTGCAGGATTTCCTGAAGCTGGAACCATGACTCAAGGAAAATACCAGTCTGAAAGCATTAACTTTGATAATGACAGAGATTCACTAATGGGCACAAAGCCATTATGATTCTTTAGGCACAAGCCAGGACATATTCATTTCACTAATTAGAGAAAGCTCTTACATGGTGATGTTTATTATGCCTTAGCTAAATGACTGATTTCTTACTAAAGGAGGAATAAAATATGTCAGGACTTGAGATAGAAAAATGTCTTATGACATTTATTCTTTCTGCTTCTATCTTATTAGACCCTAGAATTCTACAAACTTGAATCTGGGACTGAAATTGCAGCACCTGATAGAAGAAGGAAACTTGGAAGGGATTGTCTGAAGCTTCCATGTCAGGAAGATGAGAAGCAATCTGCAGGGTGATTTCTGGAGTCTGAAAAGAATAAAAAATAAAACTGAAAACAAAAACCATCCCTCTGCTAAAAAACTCTCATGCAGCTCAGCTACATAGCACCAACCAAATTAATGGGATATAAATGCACTGGAACATCTATTTAAATTTATTTATTTAAAATAAATTTAAAAATAGGATAGGTATATACAGAAAAGAGGAAGGAGTATTTATGTATTTGATATTTACGCTAACTACAAGAATTAATTTACTACTTTTTCTAAAAGTGGTAGGCTGTGTACAGAGTTGCGGTCAGGCGCGAGGGCCCTGGAACCGTGGCACCCGGATTCTGAGCTGGCTCCACTCTTCTGGTTGTGTGATCCTGGGTAAGTAACTCAATCAATTTGTATCATTCCTCCTCAATTGTAAATGAGAAAAAATAGGATGTATGTCATAGGGTATTTGTGAAGATTCAGTGAGTTAATTCATATAAATTAGTAGAACATTTTCTGGCATGTACAACGTGCTTAATACATTTTACTTAATATTACTATCATTTGAGAGATTAAACTTTAGATGGGTAAAATGACTTCTATCAGTTCCTTTAAATAAGAGACTAGAAAGTTCCCTGTTCAGGTGCTTAATCCTAGGGAATACCCCGCACCTCTAAGCCTCCTCCCTGATTGCCCTGATTTTCTTGGCTTCATGGATGGCTGCTCCGCGTCAAGGCCAGAGGGCAGACTGACCTAAAGCTGGGGGATAAGCAGGTCCAGGACGGAGAGGCCGTACTGGTAAACCACAAACTCCCTGGCAGAAAGGTCTGTGGATTGTACCATTAGCAGCTCTTCCTTCTGCATTATCTGAGGTTTTGGGAGATTCTGCAAAAAGCTTTTTGAAACTATAGAGATCAAGAGAAAACAATAATCATTTCACTGACTTTTCTGTATGATAATATATATTAATAAAAGCAGTAACAATGACAGTATAATTCATCTCAGCAAAAGGCGCATTTGCATCGGTCCTTCCATTCATCCATCTTCCTATGCTTTGCATGCATTGTGCCTCAGGCTTTCCTGCCAGTCTTCATGGAAAAGCAACTGAATCTCAGTCAATAGACACGGAGGTGCCAGAATAACAGAATGAGGTTCCAGAAAAGATAGCAACAGATTTCCTTCTATTGTTCCACAGGGTTGTTTGGAGCATGAGTGACTTATGCAGAACAGTGTCTGGTACACACTAAGCACACAGCAAATGTTAGCTGTGTTAACAATCTTACTTCCCCACAAAATTGTCTCTGATGGTTGGTCTGTAAACATTTTCTATTGTCTTTTCATTCCTAAGAGGGCAAAAAAGGCTTGGGTAGCATATTATAGGGAAGAATGCTGAACTAGCACTCAGAAGACCTGAGTTCTGGTCTGGGTTTAAGACCCTGGGAAAGTTCACTTAACTTCTTTGGCATCAGTTCTCTCACCTAATTTTTAAAAGAAGAAGTTAATAATCTCCCATTGTCTTACAGAATTAGAGTTTGCTATACTACAGGTAATCCAGACAATGTATATAAAATTGCTTTCAACATTATAAGTCAATATAATTATAAGACAATTATGGTTGAAATAGTGGTGGGAACTCTCAAAGGAGGGCCACCTCTGCCCATATTCTTTTTAGTTTCCCCCAAAGGGAGACATAATTAATACTAAGATTGGTCAAGTTCTGGGGTCAGCAAACTTTTTCTGTAAAGGGTCAGAAAGTAAATATTTTAGGCTTTGCCAGCCATGAGGCAAAGGTGGGGTTCAAATTTAGTGTTCCCTCTTATTATGGTAGAAGTGTCCTCATTCTCCTACAAAGCCTTCCCTTGCTTCTTTGATCTGCCTTCCTGGGAACTCACAAGAATATGCTGCATGCCTTTTGCACAGTCTTTATAGTGTTGGAAAATTTTTCTTCTGGGGAAAAAAATTAAGAGCACAGGCTCTGGGGTAAGACTCCTTGGAATTGAATTCCAACTGAACTCCTCATTAGCAGTATTTTTCTGACTACTTGATCTATTCAGAGGCTTGTTTCTTTATCTATAAAATGAGTAACAGTACATTTTTCATGATTTGTTGTAAAGATTACATAAGCTAACATATCCAGAGGTTCAGAATAGCACATGACATATTATAAAGTACTCCACAGAAATGTTATTCTTCTTTGACTTTTTTTTCAGTCATTTATAAATGTGAAGCCCTTCTTAGCTTGTGGGCTGTACACAGACAGACAGCAGTCTGGTTGGCCTGTAGGCCGCAGTTTGCTGACTCCTGCTCACATTTAGGGATGTTCATGGCTCTGAGCTTACCGGTGGCCTGCATTATGGCCAATTGAGAAGTATAGACTCATTTCCTATGAATCCTCTTCCACTTGGGAGATGGGTGAGTTGAAACAGACCTGACTCTTCAGGCAGGCTGGCCACATTCTCTTTTGACTTTCGGTTTCAAGGGGTGGTGTTGGTGAAGTGACTGGGAGTCCCTTTTGGGGCAAGATCTCTCTCATGGTCTCCTCTTTCTCTCTGTGTCTCCTCACACTTCTTCAGGAATTCCCCTTTTGGAATCAGTCAAGTTATTATTACCGTAAGACTTTGATTACTATTTATTATTCCTTATATGGAAAAACCCTTCGGGAATTTTAGGATGGTGATGGGGAGAAAAAGATGTCTGGTAACATGGAATCATGGCTTTCCTGGTTCCTAGGGGTTATGCCACTGAATACTTCTAGTGCAGCATGATAATTCTCAACAGGGGCCCCCAGGGAAAGGAGGTTACCGCATCCTGAAACTCAATGGTGAGGTGCGGATGGGAGGGCATGGGAGGCCTCGATTACTTTCCTCAATGACCTTCTTTCTCTTTCCTCCTGCTTCTGTCCCAGCCCATCCACTGCTCTTTGGATTCACCTATCACTGGATATTACATTGTCCTGAAGAGCCACACCTGATGGTATGGAAGGATGTGCCCTACCTCCTAGGACAGTTCCAGATGTGTGGGCTCTGATGCCTGCTCTGCCACGGTCACGTCTCCTCCTCCTGCACCCGTGGCCAGTCAACTGCTTGCCTGAGCTTTTCCTTTGCCTCTCCTAACCTCTGCAGGACTTTCTGTATGCCCAGCATCACCTGTGCCTCTTATTCCCACTCTTCTTTGTTTGCTGCAAGGGGCAGAGAAAAGGGCCACATGACATTGGCTACCTCTGGCATAGGGAGAAGACACGGTGTGTTGGAGACAGGGGAAGTCTGGGAGACGAGCACATTCAGAGGGCAGGAGCGACTGCCCGTGGGGCGGCTGTGGGTGTGGGCACCCTCCCAGGGAATTCCTGCACTGGGGACAGGCCCAGGGGCTTCCCTCCCACCTTGAGAGAGCAGGCCCCACCCTGGGCCCCGCTCAGTGCTCGGGTCCCTGGCTCACCCTCCATCTCCGGCAGGCGGCCAGCCTCTGGCACAGCACCGGTCTCTGGGGCAGCTCTCAGCTGCACAGGACAGGAAGCCCAGAGACATGGGCCATGCACGGGGGTGCTGGGCCGGGTCCCTCGCGCTGGCCCCTCCTTCTTCTGCTCCATCCTGCCGGGACAGTCAGGAGTGACCGGAATCTACTGCCTGGGGCTGGGGAGTCTTCGGGCTGTCAGCCCTGAGACGGGATCTGTTTGAGCAGTCAACTGGGGAGACAGGGGCTCCACATTTCCAGAAGGAACCTGTGCATGTGGGCAGATGGTGGGAGGGGGCCATGGACTCGTGCCTCTGGGGCTCACCTGCTGCCCAGCGTCTCTGCCCTGATGAGATGGAGAGAGGAGCTCCTGGCGCAGGTTCCCTAGGTGCTCTATGAGCTGGACCTCTTCCTGTTCTCGGTGGTGCCAGTACTGCTCCCGGGCTCTTAGCCCCTTCTCCGGGATGTCCAGCTACAACATCCAGCTTGTTTGGGGCTCATATACTTTTCCCCACAACCTGGGGTCTGGCTGAAGATCCCCAAAGTTTCTCAAGACACGGGCTTCCCCCACCTCTGGGCATCCATGACTAAGCTTGAAGAGGCATCTCTGACTTGGTTGTAGATGGAAAAATGATAACCATGCACCTTCTTCAAGCTCCCAGTCCCCCACTCCCTCCTTCTCACACTGGGAACCCCCAAGAGTCACATATCCACTGCCCCCACCTTTCCCCTGGGAGGCCACAGGGAAGGGCATGTGGCAGTGGGACATCACCTCTTCATATTCATCTGTGAAACTATCAGTTGGGGCTAAAATTTAAAATCTTGACTTCTGATAAGAATCTTTTATAACATTTCCATCTTTGCTTCTGAACCTGTAACCAGGCTGAGAATGTACCGGAGCACCTAAATCATTTTCACTTTCGTGGGGACGTGCCAGCAGCTGAATCACTGCACTAACCTCCTGACGGGGCTTCCTGCTCCGGTCTGGCCCTGTTCTCATCTATCCTCTGCCAGAGGGAACTTTCTAGAATGCTGATTACATACACATGCACATAATTATAAAAATGTCTGGAAGAAGATCTGCCAACCTGTTAATAGCGGCTGAGTTTGGTGGGAGAGGCTGGAAGAGAGGTGAGTAGTGGCGTCTGGGTAGGGGAGCTCCATGGGGACCGGTGGTGGATGAAATGAGAAGAACAGGAGGGGGAAGGAGTTTGAGCTGCTTCTTTACATACATTAGAAAATGTATGATTATGAGTAATTAATTTTCTTTTTCTATTGTTCCAAATTTTCTAAATTTAAGTATTAAAAATATTCATACCTGATCATATCACATACCTGCTTGGACTTCAGTGGCTCCAATGGCTTCCATGACATGTCACATTTCCTGCCCGTAGCCCAGCATTTGAGGCTGCTTGTGGTCTGCGTCCTGCCTTCCCCGCCGGCCCCACCCTCTGCCTTTGCCCCCTGCCCTCCTCGTCCTCCTGGAGCACTCGGGCTCTTGCACCTGCCAGCTTTGCCTTGTCCCCTGAGGTCTTTCACTGACTCCATCAGGTTCCAGCCCAAGTGTTGCCTCCTTAGAGAAGCCTTCCTTAAACTTTCCTCCATGTGACAGATGCCCCTCCTCTGTCCTCCTGTAACACCTTATAAACCATGGTCGGCGTTGAAGCCCATGGCTGGCCAGCTTCCTGAGGATAGGAGCCCTGCCCAGATGTCTTAGCAACTCAACACTTTGCCAGTGTCTGAAACCTATAAGATACTTGATATGCAGTTGCTGAATGAATGAAGCAATGAATTAACTCCTCCTCTGTACCAGACCAGGATCTCTCACTCCCCACGGCAGAGCCTCCAGCACCTGGACAACGGGCACCACTACTCTGGCAGAGGGATCTGCTTCAGCAGCAACGACAGGACCAGGTTCCCCAGTCAAGGTGTCTATGGCATGAGCCCCAACTGAGATTGGGACAAGATCTGTGGGATGACAAGCCCATCGCTGGCTTTAGTAAGCAGAGATGTGAGAAAGAAAGGAGGGCCAGTCATGGGAAGAAAGAGACATGTCTGGAAGGGAGTCAAAGGAGCCCTTCGACCCCTTTCACCCTTTGAGGGGCTCCGAGCCAGGTCAGAAGGCTTCCTGGGGCTGAGGACCCAGAGATGAGGGGATAGTGAGCCCCTGTAGTGTTGGTCTTTGAAAGGACCTAATTTTCTCAATGGGTGATAAATGACCTGAGGTCCTGGGGTTCTGGAATCTCTAAGCACGTTTAGTTTCAGTCTCAGCAGCCCTAGTGGGAGCATCAGAATGATCCCATTCTTTGGCTCATGGGTGAAAGTACTGGGGACACCATCCTGGGCTTCGCAGGGATTTCCCTCCTGGGGCTAAGTTACATTGCTGATCTCCCTTGGGCTTTCACAGACCCCAAGTTCTCTCCTACCTTTGCTATTGGCATCTTCCATTGAGCCTGCCCGGGGCATGGCATCCCCAGAATTTCCATCACTCTTCATGCCTGGGATGGGCACCATGAGCCCTGAGCCCACAGGGTCTGAGATCTCCATCCCATACAGGACCGGGACCCACAGCTCTGTGCCGGGTAGCACATCATTCCTAACAAAGGGGCAGGGAGCACAGTGAAGAGGAGTTGAGGGTTAAGTGCCACACCAAGGGTTTTTCTAGGCTCCGAGGGCCCTGCCCTTCACCAGAGAGGCTTCCCTGCAGAGATTGTACTTGTTTCCTTTGGGACCCAGCTTAGCATTTTGAATTCAGAAGGGAAGAATCAAGTGGCATCAGGAATTTTGGGAAACTGAGAACAATTTCCAGGCCACACTAAAAAGGTGGAAGAAAAGGGGACAAATATTCTTGGGCACCTACCATGTACTAGAGTTTGACCTAAGAACTCAATATAAATTACATTCGATTCAGTTCTAGAACTCAGTCTCTCAAGGATGTACTATTTTAGGGGTTTAATAACTTGCCCAACATCAGACAGTTAGTAAATGGTGGCACAGGCCCTCAAACTAAGGTCAGTTTTGACTCCAAACCCTGGCTCTTTTTTGTCACACCATGGACAGAAGCTTCTAGAAAGAGTGAGTGATAGACCCTCCAGGAAGATACCAATTGTACTTTCTTTCCCTGCCTTTCCTTGCATTGGTGCTATGGCAGAGTTAAGGGGTCAGGTGGGCTCCTTTTCTTTGTTTACTAATGGGGAGTTGAAGGTGCTGCAGGAATAAAAGTGAGAAGATAGCTGGGACTCAGGAGGCTCAGGCTCTAGGCCTGGCTGTGCAGCTAACTGGCTGTGGGACCCTGGGTGGGGTAGGCCCTTAACTCCCTGTAGATTCTTCAATTATAAAACAGGTGTCTTACATGGTATGGTGTTTAGAGGTCCTGTGAAATAGCAAGTGAATATATACCTTGCAAATATAAAGTGTGTAAGACCCAGTGGAATTGACAAAAGATGAAAGGACAGAGGTTAAAAGCCAAGCATTCATGAGGTCAGGCATGAAGACATTGAGTCCCTTCTCTCCCCACTTGGTCACAAGTATGCATGACCAGTGGGGCTGTAGTCCTGTGTCTGAGTTGACAGGCTGAGGACCTGGTCATTCTGGGCCTGGAATTTCAGGGTGTGAGAGCCTTAGCTCAGGCTGGCATGTATCCATCCTCTGCCACTAGCCTTGATGCCACGTGCTGTCTCCAGCTGTCTCTCCAGTCTCTGAGCCTGCTGCAGGATGTGGTGCAGACTCAAGGCTGGTGCCTATCTCCTGTCCTTGATGGGAGCCTCCAGGAGCCTCTGGGCTCTGGACCCTGGCCTCTCCTGATACCGATTGAGCACTGTGGTCACTTGCTTCTGGACCCTCAGCACATGGGCATCCAGCAGAGCCTGTGACCCTCCCATATGGGGCGATGTCTGTCAGGAAGCTTCCTGTCAGGAAGCTCCCTAGAGCCGGACTATCTTCCTGCTCAGTGCCTCCACAAAGCTGTCACCAGGCAGGGTGAGAGTCCCAGAGGCATCTTGCAGCCCACCCAGTGCAAGCCCCTGACCTGGAGGCAGGAACTCAAGAAGGTGAGGGAAGGAAGGGGACCAGACAGAGGTGCAGGGAGATGAGGCCTGAGGGAGACTAGGGCCTGCGGACAGAGTGAGTGACAGGGCTGAGGATGGGGAGTTGTGGGGTGGGGGACAGGAAGGGGAAGGAGGAGGGAGAGGGGTCGAAGATGGTGGTGGCAGGCAGGGAAACTCCTTCTTGAACGGAAACCCCCACTGACTTTGATTGCAGAACCACTCGGCTCCCCGTCCCCTCCTGGGGCACCATGCTGGAGCTGGGGGAGGAGAAGGTCCCCCTGGGCTTCCGGAAGGGAAAGGCATGGTAAGGGAGGGGTGAGGGGGGGACAGACAGGACTGGGGGTAGTTTGCAGCCTGGACCAGAACATGGAGGTTCTAGAGGGCACAGGGGGGATTGGGAGGCCAGGCCAGGTGGGGAGAGGGAGGGGAGGCGACGTGAGGACAGCACTGGAGCTGCTGGGAGATCTGTTTTCATCCAACCCGGTTTCCAGGATTGGTGGGATGCCTCCTGTGACTGGATCCTCCATGAGGCCCCCAACTCTAGGGAGGCCAAAGTCTTGGTGAGGGGATTGCAGTATGTCCCCCCAGGAGCGAGCCACTGCCTTGTTTGAGGGTGCAGAGTCACAGCCAGCACTAGCACCTCAATGCCAGTTAATGGGGTCTGTCATGAGAGCCCCCAGCTGTGATGTCCTTCTGGGCTGCAGGACAGGTAGGCAGGTGGCTGGAGGGGAGCCTGTGGCAGGACAGGTCGGGTAGGGCACACAGGGGAAGATGGCAGCTTCTGATGTTCGGGTGGCCCCTGGGCAGGAAGACAGGGAGGTGCAGGCGCCCTTGGCAGGCCAGCGGAGCTCCTTCCTCCAGCCGCCTCCCTCAGGGCCCTCTCTGCGGCAGGCAGGAAGCAGGGAAGGTGAGCAGCAGGTGCTCGCTGCTCACTGCTCGGCTGCTCGCCCAGCCGCACAGCCCAAGGAAATAGTCCTGCTACAAGTGCTGTGGGCCCGGAGGGTTTGCCCCACAGGGCCCCAGTGAGCCCCGGGCCGGGCGGGTCGGGGCGACCTGGAGGTCAGGGTCTCACCGGAACTGGAGTCAGACGTGGGTATCAGGGCAGCTCCCTGCAGACCACATCCCCATTTCCAGCCTCAGGCAGCACCCGCCCAGTGTGCAGGTGGACAGAGTAGCCGGGTGGTACGGACCCTGCAGGGCCACTGGCTGGCGGCATTGCACAGCTGGGGGCAGGGACCATGAGCTTGGTGGCACTTGAAGGCCCGTTGAGGCTGCGGGGAAGCAGATACTTGCTCCGCTCTGGCGTGGGGCCTGTGGGGCAGGCTAGGGGCTCCCTTGCCTGGTAACTGTCAGGAGTTGGCACTGACTCCTCCCTGACCCCAGCAGCAAGTGCTCCCTGAGCGTAGGGGATCTGGTCTTTTGCCGAATCCAGGGCAGGACTCCACATTCAAGACGTGACACTAAGATACCACCCCGTTGCAGGTTGGCAGCGAGTGGAGGGGCCTTTGGAAACGGTGGTGACAACCTATGGGGTGACACATGGGGCTGGGGGCTCCCAGAACTCAGCGTGCCCACCAAGTCCCCGAGAAGATACTTCTCTCCCTCTTCCTGTCCAGGCAAGTCTAGCCTTCCCGGAACGCGGCCTTTTGTGCTCCCCTGTCAGGCCTTCTCTCTCAGGAAATGTTACCTGACATGTAAAGCTATTCTTTGTGGTGATTTTGTTTGTTTCTTCCTCTGATCATCCTCTTCCCTGTGTCTCGGGCTCCCTCGTCTGCAACACAGACGTTGGCCCAGAGCACTGCCCAGGAAGCTCCTCCCAACCCTGGGGGTTTCCACTTCCTGTCACCCTTCTCCTGCACTCTACCCCTGCAGGGGGCATGGGGGGTGGGACTCAAGTTTCTGCAGGGCCTGTTGCCTGAATGTAGGGCCCACTTTCCTGGCTGAGGCTGAGCATGGCTCACCTGGCTGCAGCAGCTCTGCCCAGGGCCAGTGCCCAGGAAGCCCCAGGCCTTCCGGCAGTGGCCCTCCTGCAGCACAGCCTGGGATAGGCGGCCCAGCACAGTGTCCAGCTGGGGGACTTCCCTGCGGGGGCATGGGGGAGGGTTCACTGGGGGAGGGGCAATGAAGGATGGGACAGGACACTTTGGTGTGACCACTGCTGACAGCCCATGGTTCACCCCTCCCGGGGTCCAGATCTCACTAAGCCTGACTCGATGTACCAGGTACATGCTCTTTTGGGTTCTGCCCAGCCGGGGGGCACTTTGCTGGCCTGGAGCCTGTCTGTGCCTTCACTAGCCGCTGAGCCTCCATCAGTGCTGAGCAGAAAGAGGCCTGCTGCTCCT